CATGAACTGTAGCCCACCGCACACCCACAGAAGGAAATGGTTGCATGATTTAGCCACTTCCTTACACAAGATTTTTTTTTCCATCAAAATCAAGAGCTTCGATCTTTACCCTCTTGGTGTAATATCTTCGACATTATCTTCAATGTGGCTTCTATTGGTAGTTTATTCAACTTGTACATTTTGAATTGGTTACATACTTGTGCTATGCATAAGGGTCTTAGTTCTTCCAAGATTGCTTCGATAGTGTTTTGCGTTACTTCCAATTTGGTATTAGTGGTTGCCTCATGTTTCTCAAATTTTGTATTCAATTCAGTATTAGTCACTGTTGTTGAAGCTTACTTTCTTTTAGAAAAGTCTGGTTGAACTGGGAACTAATTGAAGAAGTCAAAACATAATAGATTTCACAAGGTCTACTCTTGGCGGTCGCGTGTGGGTTTCACGTGCCAGCTTCCAATTGCTGGACGGCAGTGGCTGTTTTAGGGTTTTTTGATTTTTTTTTTCTCCAGATGAGTTTGGGACTGTTTGGATGTAAGGTTTTGAAAATTAGATGTAAGGTTCTTTTAGCTTTGGTACCAAATTAATATAGGACAAATAGGGTTGATTTGTCCAATTAGGAATTTGTGGATAAAACTGTAGACATTACACCTTAGAGTTTCTTAAACATCACATTTAAGAAGTTTTAAGATATCATACTTAAGAGTTTGATTGCATCAGGAAACTAGAAAATTAAAAAACTCTCAAAATATTATTGAATCAATAAGTGAAATTACAAGCTATTTACAATAATCTCAAAGTAAACTTTTCTAAATAAAATCAGAATAGTAAACTAATATAATTAGGAATACTAATTCTAATAAAAATAAGAAGCTAATACTTATAATATTAGGAATACTAATCCTAATACAAATAGAAAAATAATAATGAGAATAAAAATTCAAGTTACGAAAACTATGATAATATTACTCAATAATATAAAACAGACTCCTAAATAGTATCATAATTTTATATTTAATATAATTACAATTTCTACTTTATTTAGGAAATCTAATTCTTGCTCTTTCTGCAGCAACTCTGTTTTACATAAGATACGTGATTCTGGTATAATTTTGTCCCATATTTATATGATATACAAATTTGTGAAGTGGATTACAACATAAATGTATTATGAGATTCTAATTTCATTACAAACAGTCAAATCTCTTTGTACTGTTGAACCTGTGTTGGTTTAATTCAAATAAATTTCTTATTATCCTGCTTGCAGGGTTTCTAGTTTTAACGTAAACGTAAATGTATTATGTATCTTCTGTTCGATGAAGGTGTCCTGATAGGTTCCATCTTGATCTGTTTTTCAAGTAATGAATATACTGTGTGAAGTGGATTACAACATAGCATGTTGAGAATCTGGTTTCCCTAAAACCTAGGTTACTTCTGGCTAAGGTTTCTTGCGATGTTGCTAATTGCCTTTTTTAAAGCCAATTTGTCTTGCACTTTCTTATTGCTCTTAGTACTGAGGATTTGGTATTTAAATGCACAGCATGCCTTGCATTCATGCTCATTGCCTTTCTCATCACTAATCCACATATTTATAGCTTTGTAAGTTGTTGTTTGTGGCTTAGAGCATTCTCCCTTAGCATCCTTTTACCTCACCTTAGTTTTTTGGGTTCTTTATGATGCATTACATCTTCATACTTGTACTACGTGCATGTATATATGATCACAATATCATTTATTGTTGGAATATGTTTTTTGCTCGCTACTTTATAGGAAATTTTAAACGACTATGGAGTTTGAGCACTCTTCGTGAAGAAGAGAATGTTAGGGACTCATCAAGTTACGCAATGGGTGAGCAAAGGGTTTTACACCTTTTTAATTTTGTTTTGGTTTTTGTTTTCTTTTATCTTTAATCCTTTGATGTATTTGATCCCCTATTCCCTATGTGCTTTATGAATATTTTAGTTAGTAAATTTTTTGGTTGAATGCATGTGAGGATCACACACATCACACAATAGATAGGTCACATAAATACATGCAAAACATGTTTAGTCACTTAGTCTATGCTAGATGGTAGGTACCTTTCACTTTTCTGTCATGGATTACTCTGCACTTTGAATTTCTGAGTTTGACCAGGGGATATGTTACCTTTTGATATGCTTCCAATAGGATATGTGGTGACTTCAAATTTTTTAAAATAATATTTTTACAGAATTTTGTCCTGCATCACTAATGTGACACATACTACATTGTTTATACAGCATTCAAGGTACATTGTGGACTTCCTCTGGACTCGGATTTTCAGCCGATCCATGGGTGGGGGTCCACGAACCTTCCGTGGTGGCCTTAACAAGTGGCAGTGGAAGCGCCTTCACGAGAAGAAGGCCAAAGAAAAGGAAACAAGATTACTTGAGCAAGAAAAACAGCTGTACGAAGCCCGAGTGCGATCTGAAATCAGAGCCAAAGCATGGGGCAAAACTGAGCCCGAACCATCCCAATATAGCCCCATGAGCCCCCAAGAGCACATCAAAGCATTAGCTGATCGTTTCATGAAAGAAGGAGCTGAAGACTTGTGGAACCAGGATGATGGGCCAATAAAATCTGGTGAGCAGCAACGGTCCTCTCCAGCTGGAAACAATGGGCCACGATTCTTCAGTTCGCCGAAGCTGATATTAGGTAACAATAGTTTAATGGGTAGTCAGGGAAACATGGACTCAACTGCCGTACTCGGCAGTAATTATGTTAAAAATAGAAATTACTCGGTGTTGAGTAGAGGGAAATCTTGCAGAAACGGGAGCTCTTCTAGTGGGGAAGATTCTTACTTGGATTCAAGGAAGGATTTCGTTCGTAAGTTCATGGGTTATGGAGTAAAATCGAGTAACCAAAGAAATGGGAAGGATACTGTGAATGAATTGGAATTTAAGGTGCGAAAACAGAACGAATTTAAGAGAAGCGAGAGTTCTTCTAGTGAGGTTGATTTGGATGTCAAGCCAGTAGGAGCTATTGAGCGTAATTTACTGCATAAGAAAAGTGGGAATGAAAAAACCAGGCAGTTGTCAATTCAAAGAAGGTTCAGGAGGAACCAGAGCTCCTCGAGCGATGATGATTCAGAATTTGATTCCGAGGAACAGAGAGGAGGTTGGCAGGATGTGAGGAAGATGGGGAGTAGTGCATCACTGGGTAAGTACGATATGAAGATAACCAAGAGAATTCCTTTGAAGAATGTTGAGGAGGAGATTGATTTTTCAGAGCAGGTTGAGATGATAAGGAAAGAGCTTTGTAGTAAGTCGGTTCAAGATGAAAGAGTGCCAATTGATGAGGGACTTATCTATAGTGAAAAAAGGTGTATTAAGATGTCATTTGTAGTATTAAATTTTCATATTTTAATTGTTGACCATGAGTTCGTTTTTGTTTTCAGATTTGATGAATGTGGTATTTCTCCACTGACGATTAAGGCACTTTCTGCAGCTGGATATGTTCAGATGACTAGGGTACAAGAGGCTACTCTTTCCCTTTGCCTTGATGGTAAGTTGATTTCTTTTTTAGCCAAACAAACTCTTGTACGCTAATCCCTGATTACTTTTGTGTCTGCTGGCTTTATGCCCCCAGTTAATTGTCTCACTTAGCCTTCACGATTCTTTTGTTATTGTAAGGCTATGTTTGAAATAAATTTAGAAGTTTCAATTAGAAAAACATATAAGTTATTATAAAAATTAACCTTATACAAAATTTTATTAGAATGGAATTAGGATGTGTTGTTTCAATTCTCAATAGAATTCAAGCCACGAGTCTAATTTTTATTGTTTTAAGGAATCACTTTCCTTGTCTTTTTAACATTTCCTCGTGTTACTGAAGTAAATATTTGTAATTTCATTCACACCTAGAGGGAAATATTTCTGGAATTTTTAGTTTTACAGAGACATTAATAATTGGGAGACTATTGACATGTTACCCTTGATAAGTGTATTGGAGAACTTCCAGTATTCTCACCAACCTGCTATTTGGTTTGAACCTTAGTCTCCTCAAGAAATTTGCACTGGCGAATCTTTTCTTGACCGTATATAATTCTAGCTGCTATAGGTCTTTTGTCTTGACACTGCATTTTGAAAAGTGAAAGTCTCTAAGGTTAAATTTTTTGCTCAGACTGCTGTTCTCAACTAGCTTCATACCAACAAGTTTTTGCAAATTCATAGGCCTAATTGTGTTCTATCACAAGATATTTATCTTGTGTTTCAAGAAAGGGAGGAGTCATCTCTTCCTTCACTATGATGTGGCTTGGAAGTTGTGGGCTACGGCTGTCTGATACTTTTGATTATCAATCTATCCTTTTCAATTTCTGCGGGAAATGATGACTTTTTTGGCCTCTCTATGGGCTAAAGCTCATGGTTATTATGTTCCTGTTTTGTGTTACATAGAAATTGAGGGGAATCGGGTATGGCGTGGTATCTGCAGTGATAGGCAGTACAATAGACAGCTTGGACTTATCCATCTGGCCACGTTTTGTGTAATATAGAAAGTAAGGAATAGAAGAGCCTTTGAGAATACTTTTTTGTCTTTTGATTGTATAAAGAATGTGGTTACAGACCAGGAGCTTTTTTATTAAGGGTCACCTTCTTTATTCTTGGGAGGACATAAGAGACCTGATTGATATTTTGATTGACATGTAAATGATTTTGTATTTCAAAGGATTGCATCCGCTTGATAGCTTTAATATTATACTCTTTTTGTTTCAGAAAAAGAAATTGGGGGGAATCTACTTTTTTTTCATTGCTATTTTGGGTTTCTGGATTTTGGATGCTTTAGGAGAATATCTTACCCTTCAAGTTTGCATTTTCTCTCATTTTTTCTTACTAATATTTCTTTTTCTATACAAAAAAAATTTAAGGAGATTTTCACCGTTTCTACTTGAATTGAGTATAAATTTGCAAATAAGTTCTATGATATTCTACATTTGTTCCAAACATAGCCTAAGAGTGTGTTTTTATAGGCTTCAAATTTTGACAAATAGTTTTGGTTAAGAATGTAGGATTGTTAGAAGCAGGGAATTTGCAATATAATTTCAGTTAAAAAAGTTTCTTCAGCTAAAACTCTGAGTGACGGGATTGTGGTGAATGCTTGTTCTGCCTCCTAACCTACATTGTTTGAGTATTTCATCTTTTTCCCAAAATTGATGTTCTGATTCTAATCTGGAGCAGGCAAGGATAATCTGGTCAAAGCCAAAACTGGGACAGGAAAAACTGCAGCTTTTTTGGTACATAACTGCTCCTCTTCCCTTCTTGTAGATTGATAGGTAGGTTCAGGTTCCTGTATCCAATGCTGTTGTTAAACACAAACAGGTTCCTGCAATTGAAGCAGCTTTGAAGGCTACTAGTGAAAACACGAATTGGCAAGTGCTTCCAGTTTTTGTTCTCATTCTTTGCCCAACAAGAGAACTTGCAAGTCAGCTTGCTGCAGAAGCAAAAGCATTGCTGAGGTACCACAGCGGCATAGGTGTGCAAACTCTAGTTGGAGGTACACGTTTCAAAGTTGACCAGCAACGCCTAGAAGCAGATCCATGCCAGGTTTGACTATACATGAATTCATATAAAAGTTATTTAGTCAGTTTATATCGTGTGGTTGTGGAGATGATAGATAATGTGTCTTACTGGCTGAAAAAAAATCATTTATACAAAGATGTAAAAAGATAATTACTTCTTGATATTATTTCAAAAACAATTTTACTTCTTGATATACTATGTTTGAATCTTTTGCAGATAATAGTTGCAACGCCTGGCAGGTTGCTGGATCATATTGAGAATAAGTCTAGGTTATCTGTGCGTTTAATGGGATTGAAAATGCTCATACTTGATGAAGCTGACCACTTACTAGATCTGGGATTCCGGAAAGATCTGGAAAAAATTGTTGATTGTCTGCCTCGTCAGCGGCAGTCCATGCTTTTTTCAGCAACCATACCAAGAGAGGTCATATTAGTTCTTTACGTTTTTATAACTTGTATATAGAGTTGGTATGTGATGCATGAATAAACTTAGTTTTAGGTTATGTTGAGTGATGCAGGTCCGCCGAGTTTCTCAGCTTGTTTTGAAAAGGGAGCATGTTTATATTGATACAGTGGGCTTTGGTAGTGCAGAAACTCATGCTAAGGTATTTCTTTTTTACACTTCCAATCAACTTCTGTGTAAAAAAGAGTAAACTCCAATAAGGAACATGCAGCTAGGCTGATTGGATACTGGATATTAGCAATAGATGTTAGTTATGGGTGTTACTGTGTTAGAACTAAAAGCAACATGATTGGATCCATATTGACTTGTTAAATGCAGGTTAGACAATATTTTCTTCTTGCGCCTCATGACACACATTTCCAAATGGTCTACCATCTGTTAAAGGGGCATATCTCTCAAACAATTGATTATAAGGTAATTTGCTGTAGCTTCTGGATTTGTTTTTTCAGTGAATATGTCCTTGAGGGTTAAACATTTAAACTTGTTGTCAGGTGATTGTTTTTTGTGCAACTGGGATGGTAACATCACTTTTGTACTTGCTGCTCCGAGAATTGAAAATGAATGTCAGGGAGATAAATTCTAGAAAGCCACAACTTCATAGAACCTCTGTATCTGATGAGTTCAGGGAAGCAAAGCAACTGATTCTTGTTACATCTGATGTATCAGCCCGTGGGATGAATTATCCTGATGTTACTTTGGTTATCCAGGTAGATAAGTGAGCAAAATTTTATAATACTTATTGCCCGAAGAGTGACATTTATGCACTATGGATATTGCAGTCAAAATGGTTTGCTTTGGTAGCTAAGCAAATCCAGCAAATAATGAAATATTATTTTGGTTTATGTAACATCTGAAGAGGGGAGCAATACTTTGCTTTTAGATTACACTTGGAACATATTCATAATCTTTGTCAAATTCATATATAAATCCACACTTGGATCTATATGGAATTGGAACAATCTATTAGAAGTTGTTTAAATTCCACATGTATTTTCATATGAAATCAAATATTAGTATTTTATTTAGTATTTTTGCCAAAAATTTTGAATCTTTTCCAAACATAGTCTTTTTGTCATGATAATATCTCATTATTTTTCTTGTGACAATGGGAATCTCTTCTGAACCTGCATCATGGAAGATGTTTAATGGTTCCAGAAATTTCTCGTCTTTCCCTTTCTACACTTTCAGCATCCTTTTGTTTAAGAAAGTCTTTTTATCATAAAGATGATATGAACATCTTCCTTTCAGTGCAGACGTCATAAAACTCATTTTTGCACCAATGAGAAACGTAGACTAAAATCCTTCTTATGGCATTCTTAGAAGAATGGTTTGCATACTTGCTCCAAGCAGAAATGTTATGAAAACACTCTTATGAAAAGGAACAAACTTTTTTTTTCTTTGGATTTGCATTCTTGTTGTGCAATAAAATTTGAAGCTTTAACTTTTATTAGGTGGGTATTCCTTCTAGCCGGGAACAATACATACATCGTGTCGGAAGAACAGGAAGAAAGGGCAATGAAGGAGAAGGCATCTTGTTGCTTGCCCCATGGGAAAAGTACTTCTTGGAAGAATTAAAAGATTTGCCTATTGAGCCATTGCCAATGCCATTGCCAAATTTGGATTCTGAAGTTAAAGTTCAGGTTTGTTCTTATTTATCACATGTTTTGATTGCACTTCTGTTATGATTTCTTCTTATTATTTAGTTTCAGTTTAATTTTGACAACTTTTGGCATTTCAAGGGGATTTAGGTTAGTTTTGGTTCACGAAAAATTTTTTACCTTCATCTTCTCATGTTATATGTATTTATTTATTCATTAAGACATGTAAATTTGTTTAACAATGTGTTGATAAGGATTTTATGTTAAGTAGAATAATATATTATTTAGAGTTTTAATAGTATTATTATATCCTATAATTAGAGTTCAAATAAAATAAGGATAACTAGTTTATGTATTCTTTTAAATGTAAACAAAATAAGAAATAAAAAAAAATTAAAAGTTTATTTTCTCTAAAAACTTCATGGCATCAGAGAACCAGTAAAAAGCTGCAGCCGCACATTCCCAAGCGCTGGTAAAAACTGAAACTGCACATTCGCAGATGTCGGTAAAAATTGAAGCCGCACATTCGCAGGCGTCGGTAAAAAGTGCAGCCGCACCTCCGAAAGCGCCGATAATAATATACAACCGTACAACCATAAGCGTTGGTAAAAAGTTGAAGTCGCACATTCTCAAGCGCCACTAAAAAGGTGCAGCCGCACATCCAGAGACGCTAGCAAAAATTTAAGCCGCACATCCAGAAACACTAGTAAAAAATTACAGCCGCACATCAAAAGATGTAGGTAAAAAATGCTACACCATTACCTTTTTCTGTGCACGTTCAAAGATCTGTCCGGAGAAGACGAGCCAACCCGACTTTGAGCCGTTTTAGAGTCGAGTCTGGACCGTTTTAGAGCCGAGTTTGAGTTGTTTTAGAACTAAACCTGAGCCGTTTAGAGTCGAACCAGATCTGATTCTGTTTGTTTGGCTCATTGGTGCAAATAGGAAATCCATTTTTCATTACTGGGTATTTTTTCTTCTTATTTTTAGTATTCTAAAATGACAGAAGCAAAAAAGGTGAGTGTTACTAGCTTTGATAATTCTTCATTACAAATCAATCTCGTAAAACTTGATGGAATTAATTATTTTGCTTGGTCGAGATTTTATTTATTGTTCATCAAATGTAGAGGATTTCAGGATTACAATACTGGTGAGGTGAAGAAACCAGATGTTAGTAGTTTAGAATATTATAGATGGGACTCTGAGAGCTCATTGGTAATGTCATGACTCATAAATTTCATGCAACCCTATATTGTTAGAACATATTTGTTGCTTAACACTGCCGAAAAAATATGGAATGCAGCATCTCTTACATATTCACAGATGGGTAATGACGCCCAGATTTATGAACTCCGAAATAAAGTTATGGCTCCGACGATTGGAACATCCTTTCTCTTTTGTTTTAGAAAAATTATATCCTAAGTTATTTAAAAGAACTTCTATGAAGTCTTTATTTTGTGATGCATGCGAACTTGTTAAATAGAAAAAGAGCTCTTATCATTTAAGTAATAATAGAAGTATTGATTATTTTAATACTATTCACTCTGATGTGTGGGGACCTACTCAGAATAACTCTCTTTTTGGTCATAGATAGTTTGTTACCTTTATTGATTGTTATACTAGAGTAACATGGATTTATCTGTTAAAAGCAAAAAGTGATGTATTTTCATGTTTTCAATCTTTCCACAAAATGATATGTATACAGAGTTAAGATTCTGCGAACTAACAATGGTACAGAATATATGCATAGTGGATTCTGTGCCTATTTGGAGTCAAATGGGATAATTCATCAACAAGTTGTGCCTACACCAGTGAACAAAATGGAATTGCTGAAAGAAAAAACAGACACATAGTAGAGGTAGCTCGATCACTAATGTTCACCATGAATCTACCAAAGAGTTATTGAGGAGATGTAGTTCTCTCAGCTGTCTATCTTATTAATAGAATATTTTTGCGGATTCTGAATTTTAAAAGTTCTGTAGAGGTTTTGTAAGGAAAAAATTCTTACATTGTTTCCCCAAAAGTGTTTGGATGTGTGTGCTTTGTTCATGCTAGAAATGTGAGTAAACTAGAACTTAGAGCTCTTAAGTGTGTATTTGTTGGATATTCTTTTACCCAAAAAAGCTATAATTGTTATCATCCAGCATCTAGAAAATACTTTGTAACTATGGATGTTACCTTTAGGGAGAATGAGCCTTACTTCAACTCAAACCCAACACCTCTTGAGGGAGAGAGTGAGAAGGAAGAAGTGATACCTAATTGGGTAACGATTGAGAATCATATTCAAGGGAAGAATTCTATTACAGAAAGTTTTAATCAAGAAAATAATGTTGGACTTTTAGATAAATCAGACTTAAAAAGATATTTAAGGAGAGAGAAGTCTGAAAAAGTCATATGTAGTCTGTTTTAGGTCAAGAATCTTCCTTGGTTCCAAAAGATATTGGTGAGTTATCTTTCTCTTATAATTTATCAGATAAACCTATTACTATTAGAAAGGG